GCTAACCATGTCTTTCATTATGGTCACCATATCTATAGTTATTTGAGAAATTATTTCTGATTTGATTTTTTTCTAGAGCCTCACTCATTTGCTTTATTACTTTTGCTGTTACCATTCAGAGTCCATGTAGGTGGCTTTCAAATCATTCCAATTCATTGCCCCCTGGGTTTGCCTTTTATGAACTAGAAGTCTGGGGTTTCCTCTTGCTTAAGTGTCTCCACATTTTCTATTTTTTAGTTTAATTCTTGTGATGCTTGTAAATTGACTATGCCAAGTAGCTTTAATGATAATATTTCAAACCATTTGGAAAAAACTACTTTTTAGAGATGTCTTCCACGTGTAGCTGGCTTTTGGGTTTTGAGTCTGTTGCAAGATCCTACCTCTTCAACTTATTGGGGATGAGAAGTTGCTATCTATTTGGCCTAGCTCCTGGTTCTTTGGCACTGGCCTATAGTGTTTTCAATGTCTCTTAGGCTATCTCAGTCTTGCATACCAGGAAGAGCAACTGATTAGAATAATTATGTCACCTTGACTAAAGTAGTACTATCAACAATAACGATAGCATCAAACACAGCCTAGAAAATGGTAAACTCAGGGAATATAGCTCAGCAGCACAGTGCCTGCCTGGCAAGCGTGAGATCCTGAGTTCAATTTCCAGTGTCAAGAAAAAAGAAGAAGATGACAAACTGTAGTAACTATTAATTTTCCACTTTTAACTGTGAAGTATATTTGTGGTTGTATAACAAAATGTAAAACATCAGAAAAGTATATATAGTAGATATGCCATTAGTATGGAAATTTTACCCTTGGGGGGAAATTTAACCGGGTTGGGGAAAAATAGAAAAATAGAAGAAGAGGAAGAGATTAGAAGCAAGGTTGAAGAACAAAGGAAGATTATACAAACTTTGAGAACTGGAGAATAAGGCAAGAGGAAAGAAGGAAGAAATTTTAAAAGAGAACAGACCAGAACAACAACAACAACAACAACAACAACAAAAACCTATGTTCACTCAAACAATGTTCACATTTCTATAAAAACAAGAGCAAACAATCAAGAAAAAAAGAAAACCAAAGCAAAATCAGTAAGGAAAAAAAAGGAAGAAAATTTTTAAAAATGTGTACTTCAAGGCAGGTCTCTGCTGTCACTGGTAGGCAAAGTGGATAGACAAAGTGTACATCTGTGTTCATTAATCCCAGCAAGCCAGCTTCAGATTTATGGATGGAGAGTAGATGATCCCAGCAACCTTCCTTGTTTTGTTCCACTGAAGTTTGGGCTACTTTCTGGCTGTGAAGCTCAAAGCTTATTTGTTCAGCCTAAAACACTCCATGTGCTTCTTGCTGGCTTGAGCTGGGTTCTGCTTCTCCCTACACAGGGAGCCTCTAGGTGCAGCCAGCCCATATCTTCTCTGAGTTCCGAGCTCAGCTGGCCCCTCTCCAAGATGACTACTAGCCAATTGCCCTCTCCTGGGGGACATCTGAACCCAAATAACTCTCCAGCCACTGCAGTCTGCTCCATCTACCACTGTGTTCCACTGGTTCATTACTCTGTAGAGGACTCTGTGGTCCCCAGTAGTCACCATGTTTCTGCAGGTTTGAACCATCCCTCCCATGCAGGGAGTCAGGGCTCAGGGAGAAAACACTACTTGCCACCTCCTTCTTTTTCATTGAGGGCTCTCTCTTTGCTCTTCCTGTGAGCTTCAATTCTCACTTCAGATCCTTGCTGGGCTCCAGAGACTTGCTTCCCTCCTTCTTTTTCTCACATTGCTATATATCAGCATCTGGACATTAAATGTTGTAAAGGCTGTTTCTGTTCTCTTTACCACTCCACCATCCTCTCAGAAGTTGAGTAAGAATTTTTTAAAATGGTGTTGTGCAAATGCAGAGGCCAAAGACTGTATTTTAAAAGACTTCACCTCTATTATTGCAGAGGAGCCTGCTCAGTAATGAATACCACATTTAGCTGGGTGTGGTGCTGCATACCTGTAATCCTAGCACTCAGGAGGCTAAGACAGGAGAACTGACTTGAATATGAAGCCAGCCTGGACTACCTAGTAAATTGAAGGCCAGTCCAAACTACAAAGCAAGACCTTGTCTCAGGAAAACCAATAAATAAATAAATAAATAAATACATGCCACATTCATTCATTCAAACATTGAAATCTGCTGTTCACCCAGCTTTGGTTTATGTGATAGAGAGTTAATCTCTATCACATATAGAGTCCCCATGGTGCCTAAGCAAGACTTGCTTATTTTATAAGGAGAGGGCAGGGCAGGCCAGACCACCAGTCAACCATATATGATTGTACATAGTAATAGCTGTGATGAAAAATTGAACAGGAGATGGTAAGCCAGGGTAGAGGTGACTGCTGTAGGTGGAGTGGTCAGGGAAGGCCTCTGTGAGAATCATATATATGAATAGCCACTTGTATCAGCAGATTGGAGGAGGTGTGGTATGCAGTCATACCCTTCCCACTTCTGTTAAATAACAAACCCTGCTACTTCATATGCTTTATAATTATATGCTTGTGCTTACCATGCAGGGATGCAGGTGGTATATTATTTAGAAGAGATGGTATAAATTTAGTTATTCTTGGCTTTTTGGTCCCATGCAATCAGATCACTCTGTTACTTCATCAAAAAATTAGAAAAAAAAAGATCATGTCATTAGTTTAGATTTTACAAAATAAATGTCCCGTTATATATTCTCTGGTCAGTTCTTGGACTCTTCTTTGAGTATACTCTGCCTAAGTTGCTGTCCAGGTGGGGCACATCCTCCACTGGCAAAGGATATAGACCCTGATAGCTGCATGCAAGAGACGGGATTATGCCAAGATAGCACTTCCCCTTTCTGAGCCATCCTGCTCCAGGCTTCAGAGCAAGGTGCTCACTGGTCTGCTAGAGACAGAGTTCTTTTCATTCATCCACTCAGCTTCTCCCCTGTGCTAGGCACAGATCTTGTAGCCTAGCAGGAAAGGCAGATTATTGAACAAGCAATGAAACATTGCAGCAGTGTTATGTGAAGGCACCATGGGGACTCTGAGCTGGGGTCCCACATCTGGCCTGGAGGTGCCAGGAATGGTTATCTAGAGAAAGTTCTGCTTGGTTAGGATGGGCTGAGTGGCTGAAAATGAGTCAGTGGGGGCTAGAGAGGGATGGAGAAAGTAAAGTTTGAGCAGTGCCGGAAGAGGACTGTCTTAGTTACTTTTCTCTCATTGCTAATATAAAATACCCAATTCCCAAAGTTAAAAAAGGAAAGATTCATTCAGCTCACAGTTTAAAGAAATTTCAGTCCATTTCAGGCAGGGTAGCATGGCAGACAGACATTACAGAGGAGAGACAGTTCATGACAGGGAGAAGACAGCAAAAGCAGGGAAGGGATGATGACAACTCTTTCTGTCCGGGCTGCTTAGGGCGGGTAGCGCTTACACCCTTAATCCTAGTGCCCTTGATCCTAGCATTGCACCATGAGTCAATTCCAGCATCACACACTATAGATCCAGCCACCTCTGAGAAAGCCCCGCCTATGCCTGCATGAGGCTTTGGGGAAACATCCCGACAGAAGCCATGACAGGGACCCAGGGGCATGCTGGTTCAGTTCACCCATCATGTCTTTAATAGAAAATTGTCAAACAGATACTGAAGAGGGAGACAATAATATAATAAGCCTCCGCGCTCACCACTCGGCCAATAATTATCCAACTTACAATCTATCTTCTTTTGTTTACATGTTACCATTGTGCTTGTTCCCACTTCCCAGGTTATTTTGAAGCAACTCCTGGACATCTTATTGTTTCAACTGTGAATGTTTTTGCATTCTCTATTTATTGCATTTCCCATTCCTTGTACACTGTCTTTCCATGGTAAGTCCTGGGTAAATAAACTCATTTGTTTGCTGAACCAACAGACCAATGTTGAGGGGAATAAGGAAAGATAGGCACAAGCCACATTCTGTAGAGGACTATTTGCTACGTTGGAGTTTGGGCCCTTTCTCTGGGCACCAGGAACTCAGGGCAGGGTCTTGAACAGGAGACTGACATAAACGGGTCATTCTGCCTAAAGAGAAGAGGAAGAATTAGTGGTGGGAAGGGCAGCTGCAGGGAGATTTTTAAGAGGTCATTTTTAAATCCAGGCAACTAGATTACAGCTATGTGTGGGGGAGTATAAGAAACTGGAAGTAGGAAGGAAAGAAAGGCAGGGAGAAAAGTCAAAATAGAAAGAGGAAGGAAAGTGTCCAGTGAAGGAGAATAGAGAAAAGTGATGAGTCAGAGAAAGATGGAGGAAGGAGTTGAAAAGGAGAGGATGCAGAGACATACTGTCGGAGAGCGCGCTGAGCCTTGATTCTTCCCGGCCATGTAAGACCAATGCCTGCTGGGAGGGAAATTGCCCACTTCCTGCTAGCTCTCATTGCCTTGGTAGGCAAAATACCAGCAGTACTCAAGGGGAGAAGTCTGGTCCGCACATCTCATCCAAGGAGGAAGGGAGGGAGGAGGCAGAATACAGTGGCAATAGTTCTCAGGTCCATGGTGGTGTCCAAGAAGTATTGACAATGTAGGGGATGGGAAAATCTAGCCAGGAAAAGAGTTGGCACGAGCCAGGCTGGGGGAGGGAAACTCTGGCCATCTGGGAAGCTGTTCAGGGCTGGGTTCTCTTCCAGAAGAGCTATAATGGGAACAAGGGCCAGGGCTCTGGGCAGAAGACCATTGTCCCTGGCATACTGGAGTGGTGTTTAATAGAATGCCTGCTGTGCAAGACTCTCACAGACACCAGCACAGAGGTGGGGGCAGCCTCTCTGCCCCAAGCACACACTGTATTTCAGATGTGGGCACTATCTGTTGTGCTGAGCACCCCTTGCCAGACTTTTTTGGCTCAAAGCCTTGGCAAAGCAGGTCTTACAAAAGGAATAGCCTTTAGACCCTAAAACTTAGCAAGCAGAACACCAATATTCCTATGTTTTAAACTGTCAAAGATTATTGAAATTTCATGACTATTATCTCTTTCAGAGTTGGACAAACATAAGGCTGTGTCTTCTCTTGAGCCAGACAGTATGGAGAAGGATTTTCATACCTGCAAGCACTGTCACTCCAATCTTTCCTCTGTGGTATGTCAGGGACAGAATCCTTGGATGGTGGGTGATGGGTGGTGGTGGTTTCTGGGTGGTGTTGGTTTATTGGGCTCAGTAGATCCCCTGCAGCTCCTTAGCATGGTTGGAATAAGATTTGTTCTGTCTTCCTTCATTTTTCATTTGAGCCAGTAAGAGGCTACCACCAGAAGTATGTTTGTTTGGCAGACTCTACTTCCCTGGGTCATGGCTAACCCATCTGGACTGAAGTTGGCAGACTCATTTGGACAATTACCCTGTACTGTTCCCCATAACCCCTGTAGTTCAAGTTGTAAGTGTCCCCATGGTCATGTGCTGAAAGCTTAGTCCCCAGGCTGGTGCTAATAGAAGGTTGCAGAACTATAAAGAAGTGGAGCCAAGTAGGAGGTGTTTAGGGATCTAGGGTGCATCCTAGAAGGCAGTAATGTCAACCTTCCCATTCTTTTACCTGTCTTTCCTGCACTTGAGCTGAGAAATTCTCCTTCACCACTCACTTCTACCATGATGCACTGCATCAACCCAGACCCAAAATAATGGGGCCAATCAATCATGAACTGAACCCTCTAAGATTGTAAGCCAAATAAACCTTCTGACTCTTTAACTATCTCAGGCATTTGTTGTAGTGATGGAAACCTGACAAACTAACCTAGCTTTCAGCAGCAACAAAGGTTGATTTTAGTTAGCTGTGTGACACACTTCAATCCAGATATGAGGGGGCTTCCTTTCTATTGGGCTCCCTGGAGACCCTCTGTGGGCAAGGCTCAACTTCAAGCCACGGGAGACACTGTCCTGACCCATAGCCATGTAGAGATGCACCAATCATGTCTTTTTGGCTTATTTGTTATACAGATGTACAAAATTGTCCTGCCCCACTCCAGGACAGGAGAGTGAACCTAAGGCCTTCATACTTAGCTGCATCCCCAGTCCTTTTCACTTTTTTATTTTGAGAAAGAGTCTTGGTAAGTCCTTAAGTTGCCTAGGTTGGGCTTGCACTTGCAATCCTTTAGTCTCAGCCTCCCAGAGCTCTGCGATTACAGGAGTGCACCGTCATCCCTGACTGTCTCCCAGATTCTTTACAGAGACATTCATATCAAAAGAGACATTAATAGGAACAGTACACAAAAGGGGCCCTCAGCAAGGGGTTGCTGATGTTGTTCATATTCTCTCAGCATGAAACTGCACATCTCACTGAAAAGGGAGCAGCCACCCTTAGCTTTCCTTGCTCAAGAAACCTGGTCATGATTCACTATGCACTTAGCTTTGCATGGAGAACAACTTGTGACATGGAGTGTCAGGCCCCATTTGATGATTTTCTTATTTACCTTTCTGATTTCCTGTTTGGTTCTAGATGTACTGCTGGATGGATCAGATCTGAACCTCTATCCTCTGGTCCAAATGTCCATGTTTACAATCCTCGGTAGCATAATACAGTAACAGCTCATCATGCACTACCAGAGAGCAGTTATAAATAAGAATGTTTTCTCAGAAATATGACAATATTTCTTGAAATTTATACATTGCAGCCATTTTAAAAAGAAAGCTTAAACACTATGTATCCATTACTCTGCATGAATTAATGGAAGCGTAATTTAGACTTCTGATAATGTTAATGTGGAATTGCTGTTAGATGTTTCTGATAGCATTTTATGCCCATGGAAAAAACCTAGTCTTTCTTTCTACTGACTGCCTTCCAGACTGCCACCTTTGTCTGTGTTTCCAATTCTTAACAGTTAATACTTTAATAGCTTTACTTTTGTACCAGCCTCCCCCCAACACCAGATATTCAGAGAATAAGAATTTTTAGAGCTAGTAGGATATTGGAGCCCCTACGGTCTTTGACTGCCACCTAGGGCAGAACTTTTGGTTACCAAGGAAACTGAATAATCCTATGTTGTTTCAAGTACTAAGTCAAAATTTTTCTCTGTGCATCTGGAGGAACAGGTACTGAGACTTGCCACAGCTGCTGTTACCGAGATATGAATCTTTTAAACATATTTATAGCTTATTTTGATATTTATTGTTGATTTGGAACCAGACCCAAGGAAGGAAAAACTAATGCACCCAGGTTTTGCCCCATGCACATCAATGGCTGATGCCACAGTGTTTAGAATTGTTTCCCTCTCAGGTTCCTGTGCCTTGTGAGTCACTGCTGGAGTCAATCATAGGTGATCTTGGGCAGTTAGGAGAGGTGTGATAAAACCCAAATCCAAGGTTAGGAAACCACGATGTGAACAAAAGTGGGTCCAAATTCACTTGATGTTCCAAAGTGAAAACTGGGAGGTTGGACACTGCTTTTTTTGGAACATAGGATGTGAAGTAGAAAGGCAGTACCCAAGAAGCGAGCTTTCTAATTGGGACATTGACACAAATTAATATCTAGAGCATAAGGGTAAGAGCTATTCTAATAGTATGGGTAGGAGAGTTTTTCTTTTCATATATGTATTTGAGCAGCCCTGAGAATATGCAGGGAAATACAGCCCTCCTTAGCTTAACAAACAGTAAGATTCCAGCTGCCCTGCAAGACATTTATGGGATCATCCTGACAATGAACATCATGTGATGGGAAGAGATGGAGCACTGGTTCTTTCAGGCTACATTCTTCTACTAACTAGTACCTGTATGAGTTACTTTTCTGTTGCTGGAACAAATTACCTGACACCAGCAATTTGAAGGAGAGATTTATTTGGCTCGTGGTTCCAGTGGGTTCAGTCCAAAATGAGCTGGTCCCAACGCAGAAATGCATGGTGGAAGAGACAGTGGAGTAAAGCTGCTCAGCCATGGCAGCCATGAAACAGGAAGAACACTTGTCTGTATTTCCTTTGGTTATGTGGTGGGTTGACAACTGGTGGTCAACTTATAACACCCAGCTGAAATGAACTAGTGCAGTGCTGGGTATGGAAGGCCCACCTGAGGGTTGTTGCCAGCAGCGTGAGAGGCAGAACTGGAGAAGAAGAAAAGAGGCTGTTGGGAGCTGAGAGAAGCTATTGGGTGCTGTTAGAAGCTGTAAAGAGCTGTTGGTTCTGCTAGAGGACCTTGTCGTGCTGGCTTTCCTAATGAACTCAGCTGTTCTCATCATCCAAGGAACTTGGGACCTTGTTGTCACTGAGAATAGATTTGGTTCACTTTGGGGGAGCTCTGGTCCTCACTTTGAGCATTGTTTCGATTCTTCAGAGGAGCTCCAGTCTTCACCTTCAGCTTGGATATCGTCTCCTGGCTTCTGGGGCAGACTCTTTGGCTTCTGCCTTGGATCCTTCAACCTTCTGTTATAGACTTATCAGCTTTCCTTAGCCGGGCATGGTGGTGCACGCCTGTGATCCCAGCACCTGGCAGGCTGAGGCAGGAGGATCATTGCAAGTTTGGACCAGCCTGGGCTACAACGTGAGCTCAAGGCCAGCCTGGACTGCATAGCGAGACCCTGTCTCAAAAAGACAAAAAAAAAAAAAAAAATAGACTTATCAGCTTTCCATCACAGACCCGTCGGCCTCCTGATACAGACTTGCTGGAATGCTACAGTGAACTTCAGACCCTGGACTGAATCTTTTGGTCTCCAGCGTGCAGACAGCCTCTGCACACTTCCTCATCCAACTGCGTGGCTGACCATCATAAGCCAATCTTGTAATTTCTTATACATTTGTATATCTTGTGTTATATCTGTTTCTCTAGTAAAACCCTGACTGATACAGGTTATATACCTAGAAGTGAAATTGCTGAGCCATGTGACAATTGTATGTTTCATGTTTTGAAGAACTCCCATTTTACATTTTCCCAGTAGAGTATGATGGCCTCGGGAGATATCTGCTGCTATTTACCTGGAACTTGGTATGTGATGGGTGTTCTGGGATGCAAGCAGTTCTTACTTTGTCTTGCTGTTACATTTTCTGATCAAGTTTTGCTGGTTTTTTTAGCTGACCCTCTAATTTCCTATGAATCCTTTCTTGGACACTCAGGTTTTTGCCTGCTAAGTATCCATTGCTTCTCCTGAAAATAGCATCAGCCATATCCTGGTTGTTCTGTGAAGGACCAAGCCTTCACTGGGTGCACAACATTTCATGACTGTTATTCCAGATGTCCCCTCCATCACATGCCAAGGTGAGGGTAGGTGGCACAGGCTCAGTTAATCATGTTTTCACCCCTTGGAAAATAAAATCTTGATTGAAAAAAGGAAAGCAAAGAAAACTGTTATAGTTGACACCTGGAAGACATTTTCCTTGTGCTCTTATTACTTGAATTGTCAGAACTGCACTTACTTCATGGCCCTTCTGAGGTCAGGTTGTTTAACTTTTTGTTGTACTTGTGAGCCACCTGTGCCCTTCCAATTGTTTTTTTTGCTTCCTGGAGCTACAGTCCAATTCTGTTGCTTTCCACCAAGACCTTGCAGAGATAAATATAGAAACCAGCCCAAATACTTCCCACTCTACTGGACTTTGATGTCCCTCCTGTCATGCTGACCCTCTTATGCCTGCCACCTATAGATTATTGCTGATGGAAAACATATGGAACTAATGGACTTGGCTAACTTACCTTGTCTTACCTGGTGCTATGGTCTGAACGTGTCCCCTAATCCAAGAGTTTTGGAAGGTGGGGTCTAATGGTGGTAGTTTAGGTCAGGAACATCCCCATGGATGGGTTCATGTTAATTTGTGAGAATAGATTTGTTTTCTTCTGCTCTCCTGCCATGTGAAGGCAAAGGTTAATTAGCCTGTTCCCAGACTGCTCTTCCGAGGACACAGTGGGAAAGCTCTCATCATGTGCTGGCACCTTGATCTTGGCCTACCAGCATGCAGAACTGCGAGAAATACATTTCTGTACTTATTACATTACCCAGTCTATGGTATTGTTATAGCAGCACAAAGGACTAAGACATCATTTTAAAGTATACAATTTGGTGGACTTGAATACGTTCACAACTTGCCATCCATCCACCTGATCATGCCACCGTGGACATGGACTCCTGTCTGGGCCCAGCCTGTACTCCTAATGTCCATTCAGAGTGGACAAGTGAGGGTTTTGATGCCTTCCTGAGGACTAGGACCAGCCTGGTCCTGATTCCTTTCTTTCCCTACCATATCTGTGCTTATGATTCTCAATATTCTTCAGGTTCAAGGCTTGAATGAAGTTTCAGTGGAGAAAGGACTGAATCTATTTTATACATATCTTCACTATACATGGCAAAGATCATGGGACCCAGTCTAAGAACACCTGAACTCACATCTCAGCTTTTCTACTTGTATGTCCTTGAGAACTCTTCAAACTTCTGAATCTCACTTTGATTGTGTGTGGAATGGGAGGCATAATTATTCCTCCTTCATTCACCACTCAGGGAGGCTGTAGGATCAGGTGATGGATGTGACAGCAACCCAACGTCTACCCAGCTGAGTTTCTCTAAAGTCAGCACCTGTCCTTTATCTGGACTCCAAGTACATGGCCCAGTATCCATTTACAGCAAGTAAAGCATGTGAGTTGAATTAATCCACTTTGGGAAGGAGATGTTCTGAAGCTCGACTAGAACCAAGATGAAATTAGTGATGCTCTTATTTTAGAGCAGATCTAGGAGCATGTGGCCTTGTTATTTTGTAGACCTGTTCCTTGGCTGCTCTTTTACATCTCTTTTATACTGGGCTGAATTTTTGCCACACTAAAAATCTGGGTTTTTCTCCTCCTCCTGTTGCTAGTGGAACTGGGACTGCCTGAAAGAGCAGCTGAGTGATTCATCCGGCCCTGTGGCTTAGCCAGAGGTCTGAGTCCACTTGAAATGAGATTCCCAATGACACCCAGGCTCCAGTGGGGATGTGGGCATTTCATGACCGCACGTTACAGGCATTGTTCTCAGTTTGCATGAGAGCTTTTGCTAAACCCAGCTGCCTGAAACTCCTCACCAACTGCCTGGGCAAGCTGCCAATCCCTCTGCCGATCCTCCCCAGATAGGAAGGGGTGTTGAGCGGCCTCATAGGTTTGTCCAGGGTGAAAGAAGCCAGCTGACAGAGGCTCATGCTCTTGGAATGCAACAAACACCAGGAGGAGTATTGGTTGTTGTTAATTAAAATTTTATTTTGCTGGAGGTAAAATTTATATATAATAATATGCATAGATCTTAAGTGTATAATTGGATGTATTCTGTCCACTGTCTGCACCTAAGTAATCAGCTCCCTGATCAAGATGTAGAACATTCCTGTGACCCCAGAAGTTGTCCTCTGTCTTCTTGCTCTCAATTCCTCCTCCCTCTAGTAGATCACAATAGTCCTGACTTTCATCACTACTTGTTTTTGAGATTTGTCTTCATTTTTTGTGTATATCCATAGATCATTATTTTTAAATTGCCAAGTAATAACATTTCATTATGTCACTATACCGCAATTTATTTATTCATGCTTTTTGAGATTCATCTTTGTTGTGTGTATCAACGTTCATATTTTTGCTGAGTAACATTTAACTGTACAAATACACCATGATTTGTTTATTGTGTTTTTAGCTGAGGGGCTTTTTGGTTGTTTTCTTTTTAAAATATCTACTCAAATAAAGCTGCTGTAAGAATTTCTGTAAAAGTATGTCATGGATTTTAAAAGTATTTTGTGGATCCATTTATGGATCTGTTTTACTGACTAGTGAAATTGTTGGGTCATATGGTAGGCATGTGTTTAACTTCATAAGAAACCATCCGGTCTTTTTCATAATGGTTGTATCATTTTACATTCTCACCACAGTGTATGGTGCTGCAATTGTTCCACATCCTCACTCACACCTGTCTTTCTTGTAATCATTTCAGCGAGAGTGGCGTGGCTGACATTTCATACAGTCTGTGGAATTTTAATGGAATATCTCTTTGCTATATACAATTCTAGGCAGGACAGAGGAGAGCACCAGGAGGAGCCTAGTAGCAATTAGGGGTTCTGACATTCCATTCTCTCCTTCTCCTCATCCTTTACCATGCTCTGCTAATTTTCCATCATGAGCTTAAGGCAATCTGACCCTTTTCCATTTTCAGAATTATCACCCTAGTTAATGTTCTGTCAGTTTCTACTTTGGGGCTGAATCCTAACCCCGGACCAAACTTCAATTCCTGTTCCAGGAGTAAAGCGCTTCTTATTGTTGTTGTTTTGCCACAGTGGGGATTGAACCCAGGCCTTTTCCCTGAGCTACATACACACTCATTTCTCAATTTTGAAGCAGGATCCCAGTCGCTAAGTTGCCCAGGTTGGGCTTGAATTTGCAACCCTCCTGCTTTGGCCTCCCACAATATTGGGATGGCAGGTGTGTGCCATCACATCCAGTGTGAAGGGGTCTTTGAGAGCAAAACCATTTAAAAATGCGCATTCTTCTCACTCTACTATATTTCAGTCTTCTGGCTTTCTTCAGGATTACAATTTTGTGGACATGTATGTATTAGATGAGACATCAAGGCTTTTCCAATGACAGAAGATTCCTAGCAATCATAGAACTTAATCTGATGATCAATAAGGCTTCCCCAAGAAGAAGTCTTCACAGTTTTGAGACTAAAAACCATCTCTCTGTAGATCCTTAGCCTTTCATCTTCAATCATTGCTTTGTGGGAGCTCTCCAGGGTACTGGACTCTGCCCAAAGGTATCTGTGACTGACACCAATGTTCCCCACCTGCATCGGACCACTATCTCCAGGGGACTTCAACACTGTCCTGTAACAGCTTTTAATCCCAACCCAAATCCTGAGGTCCATGACTATCTTTAAGATGACTCCTCTATTTCTCCATCTCTTCAGCCACTACTTTAGATCAAGCTAACGTGGTCTTTCAACTCAATGCTTCTTAAAGTTTGAGGTGCAAATCAAATACTTGAGGATCTTGTTCGAATGTGGAGTCTGATTCTAGGTTTAAGAAGGGGACCACAATTCTGCCTTTCGGACAAGGGCTCTCTGAATGTGATG